GGTGAGGAGGAGGAGGAGGAGGAGGAGGAGGAGGAGGAGGAGGAGGAAAGGAGGAGGAGGAGAAGGAGGAGGCGGATAAGGAGGATGAGGATATCGAGTATGAGGCGGGAGGATGAATGGGAGGATAAGCGTGGCGAGGGCGATGACGATGGTCATGGTGATGGTGGTAGTGGTGGTGATCATGGTGATGATGATGACGATGATGATGGTCCGGACACCACCGGGTGGTCGAGGTCAAACTAAAATCTGCGAGTCGCGCCGGCGGCGGGCTAGCAACCGAGGGCGTCTGCGGCCCACAGCGCGACGACGGTACAGGGGGCGCTCGGCGAACTGTGGCGCCGTGGTCCCGCGGCGGCCGTGATCCCGATGATGATGGCGATGATGTTTATCATGATGATGACGGTGATGATGCTAATGATGGTGATTATGATGCTGATGACGATAATAAATGATGGTGATGCTGGTGATGTTGATGGTGGTGATAAAGATAATGTTGCTGACGATAATGAGGATGATGACGAGGATGATGATGCTGATGATGATGCTGATGACGGTGACGATAATATGAAGATTATGATGATGATGATGATGATGATGATGATGATGATGATGATGTGGGGCTCTCTCGAGGCCATCGGGTACTTTTTGTGCAGAAGGGCGACGGCGCACGAGAGCAACGGCACGCCTCGAAGCACAGACTCGGTCAGGAAAGCACCAAACAGTTAATCTTCGGCTCAAGTTGGGCGGGAGGGCCCAGGGAAGAACTTGAGCAAGGAGGTGCGGCCACGTGCAAACCCACAAGTGCCGACAAGTCGCTGTATGTGGGGCTCTCTCGAGGCCATCGGGTACTTTTTGTGCAGAAGGGCGACGGCGCACGAGAGCAACGGCAAGCCTCGAAGCACAGACTCGGCAACTCACGCTAGTCACAACACATGGCCACAGCCGCAGAACTTCATTGACCAAACATTTTCTTGCATCTAGCGGCGCGAGATAATTGCCGAGCAGCGGCCACTATCATGTCAGCGCCTGCAGTGGCTACCTGAAAGGGAAGCCCACGGGCTGAGCAGCGCGCAGCGGCATCCAGCGCAGGACGCCCTAGGCCGCCAAGGTGGCGGCGGCCAGTACGGTCACGCAGGCCTAGGGTGCAGAGGCAACGGCGCGACAGGCAATTGAGATCTCGGACGCCCCATCCGATCAAAAACAATCTCTGCCGAACCCGACCCGCGCACATGCAGGAGTCGAGAGAGCAAGAAGAGGAGGCAGAGGCGAGGGGCGAGGAGAGGAGCGGATGCCGCCAGATCAGGCTTGATTCTGGGTGCCAGAAAATCACAGGCACCTGCCGAGCCGTGCACTCTCGAATCAACTTAAAGACAGACGCTGCTAGGGCGTTCGCCACGCGAATGGCGCGAATATTGGTGTCGTCACTGTTGACGCCCTTAAGCGGGGCGTCCAGGCGGCGGCGTCGAGCCCCGCTGGAGGGCCAAGTCGTGGGCGGCAAGGACGCCCACAGCCCTGAGACGGCCGATGATCGCACACAGCCTAGCAGCATCTGCACCACGCGAGGATCCGAGGCGTCCTCTGCGCGATGTCTGGCAAGGTTGATGGCCACTGTTCCTAGCCCGCAATCCTCGCAGGCCAATCGGGCGCGAGTCGGCACGCACATGCACAATGTCACGAAGTACGGCAAGACAGAGGCGCGCAAACGGGCACGCCGCCACAACCTATTCAGGCGAACCTCCGTTGATCGGTCAGCGGGGGCGCAGTCCTCTCTGCAGCCGGCGCCGACGCGGGCGCCAGGGGCGGCAGGCGGAGCGGGGAGATGCCCATCCTCGCCGTCACCTCCATCAGCTGAAGCAGCCTGGCCACGCCCTTGTCGCCGAAGTCCTCCAGCGCGGGTGAGAGCGGCAACGGCGGGTCGTTCACAATCGCGCTCTCGTCGGTCACCCCCGTCTTGCCAGGTCTGCCGCTGGCTGCGTCGTTGACCAGGATGGCCCAGAGCTGGTAGCCGCCCTTCCACCCGACACGCGGGGCGATGAGCGAGGCGGCCGTGAGGCGGTAGGCCACGCTCGGGCGGAGGTACGCGTCGAAGGCCAGTCGCGCGAACACCGCGTCGGACAGGCGGCCCTGCGCCAGGAGGACGCCCACTGTCGTGAACATCGCCACCCGAGGCAGCGGAAGGCGCATCTGGGGCGGGACGAGCTTCGCCCACCCCTGCAGCGCCCGAAATGCCCGCGGCAGCGGCCGACTCCCGACCAGCATCGAGGGGAGATGGTGCTTCAGGGCGGCCAGCGTGGTGCGGCCCGTCGCGCTGTCGTACTCGTCCAGGAACAGTCGCGCGAAGTACACCACCAGCACGGTGTCGAGGTCCACGGAGCAGGCGACGTCTCGCGCGGTCCACAGGCACCAGCTCAGAAACTTCAGGGCGCAATCGTGGTAGTTCCTGCCCGTGGAGGCCGAGACGGCTGACGCCTCCAGCACTGAGCGACTCCCTCGCGAGTGACTGGAGGGCCCAGGGTGGGTCTTCCGAGCCTTCGCGGTCATGATCACCTCGTTGTGCCCGACGAGGCCGCCGCGCGACTTGCCCCTCCAGGAAGTCCTCGAAGCTCGGCCCGACGAAGAAGCCCTCCCTCGACGGCTTGTCGGCGCCATTCCGTTCAGAGGGCACCCATCGGACCAGCAGCCGCAGCCCGCATGCCAAGGTGACGCCAGAGAGCCGCCTCAGCGCGCGCACGAGATGCGGGCTCCCCGACCGCCCTTTGCCAACAGCGAGGGCTAGAGTCAAGTTGTCAACGAGGCATAGCATGCGATGATGGTGGACTCCGAGGGTCCTCGAGGCATGGTGAATGCTGAACCCCAAGGCCCCGGCCTCATATCGCAAAATATCACACCCAAACCGCGTGTGCCTGCTCGAGTGGATCGTCTTCCAGCCGTCGAACCCAAAGACAGCCTCGGGAACCTCCAAGAAGTTAGATGTAGTCGACGACGACACAGCAGCAGCAGGCAGCGGCGCGGCAGGAGGAGCACGGTCGGCGGCCTCCTGATGGGGCTCAACGGGGCTGAAGGCGTGGGACCTCGCGAGAGCACTGGAGCCCTGGTGGCACCTCCACTTCTCGGCCACGCGGCCAACCTCTGAGACCAGGTCGGGGGGGATCACCTTGACGCGCACGCCCTTCCCGTACGTCGACGCGTCAGACGCGTAGACCCTAGACGACCACCTGGACCTAGTAGAGGCGCTCCAGAGGGGGATCAAGGCAACAGCGGCGCGAGGTTCCCTAACAACGGAGTCCCAAAGAGGCTCGGGTTGAGCGCCCGCCACGTTGATGAACCTATAGACTGAGTTGAAGATCGCCCAGACATCCCGCCTCAGGATCATACAGTGGCCCACCAGCACGCTGAGAGCCCCCGCAGATGCCCGCCCACGTCGTAAAAGTCCGAGTGTAGCCTGCCGCGTATGCGCGAGGCGATCGGGCCGAACTCGAACGGCACCCGAGAGACCGTCGATCTGCAAGCCCGTGAAGACACCCTTACTGACGGCCTCCGAGAACTCCAGGACAGGCAGACCTCGGGACGTTAGAAGGCCGGCGACCTCACGAGCACGGCGAGTGGCAATCTCATGGCTTTTTGACACAACGCAGAAATTGTCAACGTATCCAGCACATATAGCGTCGGAGTGAGAGATTAGCTTACGGGGGCATCCTCCGTCCACGATCATGTCACCACTGTCGAAACCAGCGTCGGTTAGGACACGAACAAGGGCGCTCTGACAAAAAGTGAAGGGCCCAGCTCCAACCCATGGGAACAACTGTGACCAATGGCTGCACAAAATCGTGGATACCGACGGGCCTCCCATTGATAGGTGTGAGGCCGATGTGACGATTTGAGATCGCGGGCAGCGAGAACAGCGACTCCATCCCTGGGGGCAGGCGCAGGTGGTAGAAGGCACATTGTATATCGCCTTGTGCAAAAACGAAACTGTCGTCGCAATCGACACTGGCCCACGCACTGGGCGTGGGAAGCTTGGTGGCTGGCGGTGTGGCAAAACTGCAGTTGGCCAGCCTAGTGTCGAACACGAGCCTAAGCATGTGGTTAGATTTCTCCACGAAGAAGAAACCGATTGTGTGCGAAGACTGAGAACTGGCGGCCCTCCATGAGATCATGTCGTGGGCCTCCAGCTGCTTCAAAAACTGGGCGTGAGACTTAGGCTGATGGCGAAGCTCGGGATCGACGTGCGGGCGCTGAATGCCCAACGCGTCGCGGGGCTCCGCAGCAACCGACTCGGAATTCAGCATAGTCTGCCTACAACCCTGCAGCACGATGGAGTCGGCATCCGAGACGACGTCGGCGGTGGACACAGCCTTCGTCGACTTGGGCCAGGCCGCGAGAGGCTGGCTGTAGGGGCGGGCCCGACCGCTGTCACCAGCGTAGCCAGGAGCCTGAACGAGCATCTCTACCAGGGATGCTTCGCAGGCGCTGCTCCTCTCCGAGTAGGCGGCAGGCAGCTCGAACTCCCGATGCAGGCTCGAGAGGTAGTCCACCGAGGCAGCCTGAACGGCGGGCGGGTCGCCACCGACCTGCGGGAGGTGCTCCGCGTCGCGGCCACTATGGAGCCACAGTTGAGAGCGGTGAATCCCTCGTTGCACCACTCCCGCCAGCCCGCACCTTTGGCAGCGCGCAGACGAGCAGCGCGACCCAGCGGAAGATGGCGGCGCCCATCCACAGGAAGATGAGGTAGCGGAAAAACGTCACGCTGGCGATCGGCACCACGTATGGGCGCGTCCAGACCAGGCGGAGGCACGAGGGCCTCAGGGCAATCCTGGCCAGGCTCACGAGATACGGGAAACGGCTCGTGAGGCCCCTCCTGACCAGGGCCCTGAGGGGGTGTCATGGCGCCCGCAAGGCTCGCTCCTCACGAGCCTTGCGGCGTTCTTTCGCGACAGCTGCTTCCATCTTCATCTGATCGGCGATCCAATCCATCGCAGCAGGACAGATGCACAGGTTCCCCTTCGTCTCTCCCGTGCCGAGGAAGTGGCCGACCTCGGAGCCGAAGTCCGCAGCCGAGAGCTCCTTGGCCTGAGCCTTGGCCTTCGGCACGGGCTGGCTCCTGCGCGCGCGCTCCTCGAACGCGCGCTCCTCCACCAACTGTAGCTGGCGGGCGAGGTACTCGTAGGGGGCCAGCTCGCATATCGCCAGCTGGTCGTGACAGAGGGCGGTCTCTATCACGCGGCACAAGGTCTCGTGGAGCTTCACGTTCTCGTCGGACTCTCCTAGCTGCATCATCGCAATCCATCGGTTGTGCCATGCCATGGCACCTCCAGCCATGCGTAGCATGAAGCCAAGCACCCAGAGCAGTGTCCGAGGGCCTTTGACGGGCCAGTCGGCCCTCACCGTCTCGGTCTGCAGCTTCACCGCGTCGCTGAAAGTGATGTCCCGAAAGCAGCGGCCGTCGAGCACCAGCGCCATCGCCCGCGGGTCCCCGACGAGAGGCGGCGCAGCGGCGGCGGGCGCGGAACCAGGCACTGGAGCCACGGCGGCGGGCGCTCCAGCTCCTCCGCCCCCGAGGGCGGCCGCCAGGGCGCCGACGCCCCCAACTCCAGCGGGGGGTCCAGCAGCTGCGGGGGCGCCGAGGGCGGGCAGCGGGGCGGCGGCACCTGCAGCCGGCGGGGCGCCCGCCGCGGGGGCGGCGCCGCCTGGCAACCCGGGGGCCCCCGCAGGCGCCAGGGCTCCAGCGCCCGCGCCAGGCGCGACGGCTGCAGGGTCGGGGAGAGGCAGCGTTCCAGCGGCCAATCCCAGCACGTTGGAGGCGCTCAGGTCGATGCAGAACGGCGACGCGGGCGTCGCTCCGAACCCCTGGGCAGACGCGCGGCGGAGCGCCGCCCACACCTCCGCGGCCCGAGGCAGCTGGCGAAACTCATATAGATGCTGAGGAGGTATCCCTGGCAGCCCCTCACCTTGACCACAGAGAATGTGAATCGATCGGATATCGTGATTCGGGACGGCGACCTCGGCATAGTCATCGCCGTCGGGCGTGAGGATGTACCCAGGCAACAGCGTCAGACGCTCGTGGTAGATCGCAGGGCCGCCCACATTGTACCTCACCAGGTGGAGGTGCCCAGCGACGGGCGTCGCCATCACGACTACGCTCTGTGAAAGCGAGCAGCCTGCGCTGCCGCCTCCACGGCCAAGTCGGTCGTGCGCACGTCCGCCTCCAGCGCGACCAGCTTACCCCGAGTCGAGGGTGCCGTGCAGCGCGAGGCCCAGCGGGCGAGCGACCAGCCGCCCAGCGCGCCGAGGAGCAGCGAGGTGCCCAGCGCGGCGCCCGAGAGGGCCGAGGCCTCGGCCGCCGAGGGGGCGGCGGTCACCGCGCCCAAGCCGTCTGGGCAGCGGCACTCCAGCGCGGGGCAATGCAGCGCGGGCGAGCACACGCAATCGCAGGCGGGGCACGGAGGCGAACTGCCGCGGACGATGAGGGCAATGGAGAGGGCACTGGCGAGATCGTGCGTGAGGCGTTCGAACAGTGCCTGCATTCCCTCAAGAACTTGAGCAAGGAGGTGCGGCCACATGCAAACCCACAAATGCCGACAAGTCGCTGTATGATGATGATGATGATGATGATGATGATAATGATGAGGATGGTAGTGATGATAGTGATGTTGATTGTGATAACAGTGATGGTGCATATTAAGGGGAGGAGAAGGAGGAGGAGGAGGAACAGTTGGAATGACAAGGGCGATGGACACAACGAGAAGGCCCAGGAGGACATGAGGATCACGAGGATGACCGAAAGTAGCTAGGAAGCCGACTTTGACTTAAGCCCAAATGGCTACGATGGCAGCTGTGATTATCGTAGTCAGCGGAGATGATCATGGTGACGATGAGGGTACACGTAATGAGGGAAAACATGATGGGGGAAGAACGGGAAGGATAATGAGGAGGAGCACGAGGCTGCACTCATGGTTGTTCCAAACCCTCCTGTGCCGTTGGGCTTCTTTTTCCCACCGCTGCGCCGTGCGTCCCGTCCTTCCCCGCCTTCCTGGCTCTGCGCCGTGCGTCAGAGAGCGCGGCCAGCCTCGTGCAGCACGGCCGCGCTCGACAAGTGCAGCCAACAACGACCCCAACGACATATCGGCCCCCGAAGCCCGACGGAACTGCATGGGGCCGAGTGCTCCGGGAAGGCAGAGTGCAACCTGTGGCGGGCGCGACGGCCAAGCGCACGTGCTCTTTTAGAGCAACAATAACGGCATTATACGTCGGTCGGAAGAAGTAGGTAAAAACATGAAGTAGGAAGGTGGATAAAGTTGATTGGGTCCAGGCCCCCCCAGAGAATAACAACACACAGCAAAAGCGTGTCGGTCCTTGAAGTAGGAAGGCGCTTGAAGTAGATTGGGATCTGGGAAACCAAAAAACACCTACTTTCAACGACCGGCGTGTAAACCAAACATGAACTTTTGAAGATCCGCGCGGATTTCTTGGAACTGCGCTGGGCCCCTCTCACTTTCGTGTGGAGCGCGCCAGCGGCGGCGCCGGCGGCGGCGCCAGGGGGTCCAACACAGATCCGAGAAATCCGCGCAAAATGCCGGGAGTTTCCGTTTATGCAATTTTTCCTCTACTTCTGCGCCTCCGGCTGAGCCGGGCGAGCGGTAACAGCGGAATGCTGGCGCTGGGCGGGCGCTGCCAGGAGATCACTGGCAGCTGGCTGGCCGCGCCAGCGAAGGGGTTTGAGGGAATCTTGCCTGCGCTCGGCGCGACTGGGGACCGGCCAGGCGCCGCTCCAGGAAATGCTCCCGTCGGTCGTCGTCGTCGTCGAATGAAGTCGGAATCGTCGTCGGTCGTCGTCCGTCGTTGGCGGTCGTCGGTGGTCGGTGGTCGGAGGTCGGTGTTCGGACGAGGGCGTCGTCGTCGTCGTCGCCGTCGTCGTCGTCGCCGTCGACGTCGCTGTCGCCGTCGCCATCGCTGTCGCCGTCGCCGTCGCCATCGCCGTCGTAGTCGCCGTCGCCGTAACCGTGGCGATCGCCGGCGCCGTCGCCGTCGCCCTAGCCGTCGTTCGTCGTCGTCGACGTCGTGGTTGTCGTCGTCGTCGTCGTTGTCGTCGTCGTCAGTCGTCGTCGGTCGTCGTCGTCGTCGTCGTCGGAATCGTCGTCGCCGTCGGAATCGTCGTCGTCGTCGACGTCGTCGCCGTCGTCCGTCGTCCATCGTCCGTCGTCGTCGTCGTTGTCGGCGTCGTTGACGTCGTCGTCGTCGTCGTCGGCGTCGTCATCGTCGTCGTGCGTCGTCGTCGGTCGTCGGTTCTCGGTCGTCGGTCGTCGTCGTCGGTCGTCGTCGCCGCCGTCGGAATCGGTCGTCCATCGTCCGTCGTCATCGGTCGTCGACGTCGTCGTCGTCGGCGGCGTGGTCATCGTCGTCGTGCGTCGTCGTCGTCGTCGTCGGTCATCGTCACCGCCGTCGGAATCGCCATCGTCGTCAGCGTCGTGGCCGTCGTCGTTGTCGTCGTCATCGTCGTCCGTCGTGGTCGACGTCGCCGTCGTCGTCGTCGTCGTCGTCGTCGTCGTCGTCGTCGTGGTCCGCCATCGGCGTCGTCGTCGTCGCTGCCGCCGTCGCCCTCGCCGTCGCCGTCGTCCGTCGTCGGCGTCGTCGTCGCCGTCGTCGTCGTCGTCGTCGTCGTCGTCGTCGTCGGTCGTCGTCGTCGTCGCCGTCGCCGTCGTCGTCGTCCATCGTCGTCGGTCGTCGTCGCCGTCGTCGTCGTCATCGTCGTCGTCAACCTCGTCCGTCGTCGTCGTCGTCGTCGTCGCTTCAGTACTCGTCGGTCGTCGTCGTCGTCGTTGCCGTCGCCGCTCGCTCGTCGGTCGTCGTCGTCGTCATTGTCGTCGTCGTCGTCGCCGTCGTCGTCGGTCGTTCGTCGTCCGTCGTCAATCGTCGGTAGTCCGTCGTCGTCGTTGTCGTCCGTCGTCGTCAGTCGTCATCGTCGTCAACGTCGTCGTCGTCGTCGTGGTCCATCGGCGTCGTCGTCGTCGTCGTTGTCGTCGTCAACGTCGTCGTCCGTCCTCGTCGTCGACGTCGTCGTCGTCGGCGTTGTCGTTGTCGTCGTCGGTGTCCGCCGCAATCGTCGTCGGTCGACGTCGTCGTCGTTGTTATCCGTCGTCGTCCGTCGTCCGTCGTCCGTCGTCGTCGTCGTCGTCGTCGTCGTCGTCGTCGTCGTCCGTCGTCCGTCTTTCGTCGTCGTTGTCGTCGTCGTCACTGGCGTCGTCGTTGTTCGTCGTCGTTCGTCGTCGTTGTCGTCCGTCGTCGTCCCTTGGCCTCTACCCTCCTCTTCTTGAGCTTTCTCCTCCGAAAGCCTCCGAAATATGCGAATCTCGTAACATATTGAAAGCTTACGAGAGACTCCTTCCCCTCGTCCTCCTCCTCCCGTTCCTCCACTTATCTTCTCCTCTTCAAATTATATGTTCCTTCCGTTGCCTCCTCTTCCTCCCGTCACTTTCTCTATACTCCCTACCCTCCCTGCCTCTTCTCCATCCATCCCTGCCTCTTCTCCTCTTCCTCCTCCGCTTCTCCTTCCAACTCCTCCTTCTCCCGGCAATCTCCAGAACTTGCACGAATCGCCGGGAACCTGAATCTGTGAACACCCTTGAACAATTCTCAACTGTAGGCGGAAACATCAAGTATCTTACAAATTCTTCCTGATCCTCTTCCTCCTCCTCCTCCTTCTCCTTCTCTTCCTCTGGTTCCCCCCTCACCTTCCCCTTTCCTTCCCCTCCCGCTCCTCATCTTCCTTCTTCTTCCTCCTCCTCCTCCTCCTGCTCCTTCTCCTCCCCCCCTGCACCTTCCCCTTCTTCTTCTCCTCCCATCCCCCTTTTCCTTCCTCTTCCTCCTCCTGCCTCCTCCTGTCCCTCCTCCCTCTCCGTCCCCCCTCCCTTCTTAGGCGTCCCTGGCATCCCCAGGGCTCCCTTGAACCATCCTCCTCCTCCTCCTCCTCCTCCTCCTCCTCCTCCTCCTCCTCCTCTTCGATGGCAACTCATGGGAGCCTCCCATACCATCTTGTCGGCTCTTGCGAATCGACGCTAGTCGACGCCAAATCGACGCTGATCGACGCCAAATACACGCTAATCGACGCTAAGCTTAGCCGACGCTAGAAATCGGGGCTATCTCACCGACTCCCAGACGCTAATCGGCGCTAGTCGACGCTGAAAGCGGAACTGAAAGGCTATACTGCCGAACTCCTCCGCGTGCTCGTTTCTAGTTGTTCCTGGCCCCCTGGTGGCCAGGAAGAGGCCCAGGATAGAACACTTAGGCGTGAAAGGATCTTGGCCCCCAGCAAAGATCACCGGGCTCCCATGCCTGGCTGCCGCACTCCCCCGCGCGCCTGCGGGGGGGCCGCGCCCTCGAAGGCCAGGCACGCCAGGGCGAACGCGACGCTGGCGCCGCCCAGGCCCAGGAGCCCCACGCGCCAGCCCTGCATGCCTCACGCGGGGGGGGGGGGGCGGGCGGGGTCCGGAGAGGGCGAGGGCTGCTTGATAATCGGCCCCCAACCCCAAAAACGTGACTGCCCATGTCGGGCACAAGCTGACAGCTCTTTCTCTCTCTCTCTCTCTGTTGCTGCATGGATGATGATGAGCCGCGCCTGTACCGTAGAGCGGGGGGGGGGGGCGTGGAAGGGGCATGCCGCTCCTTGACGAAAACCTTACACCCCGATTTGTGGCCGCCGCGATCGCCGCGGCAACCTCCAAAACCAACCTGGAGGTCTGGTTCGTGGTCGGATATCGCGCAAGGAGGCGAGCACTCGTTTTGGACGCGGGACTTGCCACTGGTAGGGCATCGGGTTGCGCGCAGACAGTTCCCCCAAGTAATCCCGGCTGGCCTCAACAGGCCCCCGGAGGAATCCCAACCGGCCTCGACAGGCCCCCCGAATAGCCCGGGGCGGTCTCGACACCCCGGCGCCGGGCGCTCCGGGGGCGCTCCGCGCCCCAGGGCTGAAGTGCTGGGACCGCCCTGGGCTTGAGGCCAGCTGGGACTTCTCGGGGGGCCTGTGGAGGCCGGCTGGGACTACACTTCTCTCGCATGTTCAGATATCTCATGACCAGGCATTGAGGTCCAGCTTTCCTGAATTCCGTGAACCTGGTGCGAGGGCCAACTTCCCATCCTGGACTTCTCAACGAATCGGCGATTCACGTGGCGGGTGAAGATTGCGGCGAAGATTGAAGCAAACATCTACATGAATATCCCAATGAAGGATCACATTCATACACGGAATTCGATCAATACGCGGAACAAACAACAACATCAACATTCTATACTGCTGCGTAAAGCTTGCAGCGCGGCGCTTGGGGGGTAACGAACAACATTTGCGGATATTGCAGAAACACTGACGCTTCGACGCGTCATGGAACGAAACAATGCATTTGCTTGCAAGACCATGCGCTACGCAGACGGAATCCAATGGAGATCTAAGGAAAGATCTGGCGAGATCGTCACAACAGACTGGCGGACGATCTGGGGAAAAATCTGGGGGATGATCTCGGGAGGAGGAGCCGGTGAAAGACCTGGGAGGAAAATGTGGAATCTTGAGGGTAACGTGCGCTGAGATGCTGTGAACAGACACCTCACACATCCGGGGGAAAATCTAGGGAAATGTCTGGAGGAATATCTGGGCGAAGATCTGGGGGAAGACATGAGGGAAGATCTGGGAAGAGATCCAGAAGAACATCTGGGAGAATATCTGGGAGAACATCTGGTGGAAGATCTGGGGAAAGATCCGGGGGACGATCTGGGGGACGATCTGGGGGAAGGACGAGGGGAAATCTCACAGAAGATCTTGGGGAAACTCAGGGTGACGATCTGGAGGAAGATATGGTGGAAGATCTGGGGCAAGATCTGGGGGAAGATCTGGGGGAAAGCCTGGGGGTAGATTTTTAGGAAGATCTGGAATCATCTGGAGAAAGAACTGAGGGGACTCTGGGGAGAGATGTAGGGGGGAGATCAAGTAAAAGTCTAGAGGCAGATCTGGGGAAAATCTGGACGAAAAATTAGAGGACAGATCTGAAAGAAGATCTGGAAAACGATTCCGAAAAACATCGGAACGGAACGCGGAAAACATACTTGGCGGAGGATCTGGAGAAATATCTGGCGAATAATGTAATGACCATATCTGGAGAATTATCCAGCCCACGATCTGGAGGAACTTGTGTATAAAGATCTGGAGAATGGTCTCGAGGAATATCGGGAACATGTGTGGACCAAACTCTGGCGGAAGACCTGGTGAAGCTCCGTCGGAATATCAAGTGGCAAATCTAAGAGAACATTTGACGGAACATCAGGAGAAACATCGAGAGGGAAGACATGACGGAAGATCTGGCGGGAGATCTGGCACCATCTCTAGATACAATCAAGAGAAGACCTCGAGGAAGATCTGGAGAAATCGCTGACGGAAGATCAGGAGTCATCTCGTGGAATATCTGGAAACAAATGTGACGGATGATTTGTGGACATATCTGCATCTTGTAAGCGAAACGATTCGGAAGATGCAGAGGAAGAGCCGGAGGACGATCTGGATCATGCTCGGGAGGAATTCATTATCTGACTGGGAAAGATCTTGCCGAATATCCAGAGAAGGATTCAGCGACAGATCTGGGAATGATCTGGAGAAGATCTGGATAATTATCTGGCGCAGTGCGAACCATGATGATTATGTTGACTAGTATAATGCCCCCACCAGGGGGGCCGCCACGGAGAGATCGACAGGGCGAGAGGGGAACGGTCGGGCCACGGCCCGTCGCACCTGGACGATGTATTTTCCACTCTCCAGGCGACCACGTCGCAGGCGACTTGTGTGAGAGAGAGGCTAGCCACTCCGAGGGCCCGCCGGCGTCTGAGGTCCAGCAACGCCGGGGCCGAAAAGGCGTCGGCCAACCAAGTCCAGCAGCTCATTAGCAGAACATTAACAGTACCTATATGCAAAGGGTGGCTCGCGGGCGGGGAGCAAAGAGGGGCTGTAGAGAGTTCTGTTCAGCCGTATCCTGGTACGGCACACGGTGGGGAGGCCCGCTGGACAACACATAGCGCGCGAGCACGTACAATGTTGACTAGTATAATGCCCCCACCAGGGGGGGCCGCCACGGAGAGATCGACAGGGCGAGAGGGGAACGGTCGGGCCACGGCCCGTCGCACCTGGACGATGTATTTTCCACTCTCCAGGCGACCACGTCGCAGGCGACTTGTGTGAGAGAGAGGCTAGCCACTCCGAGGGCCCGCCGGCGTCTGAGGTCCAGCAACGCCGGGGCCGAAAAGGCGTCGGCCAACCAAGTCCCATATCACAAAATGGAGAGCAGCTGGGGAGAAATTCCCATAACACTCCACTGGCCCATGGCCGCAAAGACACTACTCATGCCAGAAAAGAGAGTCCGCGAGCCTCGGCCTTGCAGGCTGCGGCCCGGACAGCAGGCGGAAGCTTGCGGATGGCCGCGAGGAGGCGGCCGGCCTTCTCATATCTCTGCACGCTGCGAAAAGAGGCCCAGCGCCCGCGCGCCTGGATCTCGGGCAGCGTCCTGGCACGGCGAAGGAAGTCCTCGCTGGGCCCCCCGTGCCTGGCAAGGTGAGGCGTGACTTTGAAAGGAATGCCTACGGCCTGGGCGGCCCGCTGCAGCACTTTATTGTACGAGGCATACGTGTGGCTAGGGAGCAGCGTCTGCGAGCGAGCACGGCGGGCCTGGCGGATGAGCGCTGCGAAGGCACCGACAACGCCAGGTCGGCTGGCCTCATCAAGGAGGACGGTGTCGTCCTGCACGCCGGTCTTGCTGGTGCGGATGCCGACGAGCTGGCCGGCCACCTGGCAGGACGGCGCGACAACCATCCCGTACTTGTTGTAGTGAGCCCCAGCGTGCATGCCCGGCGTGAAGCACGCGACCAGGGGCATGAGCACCAGCTCCGAGGGCCGCAGGTAGGTGTCGAACTGCACAACGAGGCCGCGGGCGGCCTCGAGGTCAGACTCGACGCCAGTCCGCGACAGGTGGTACGCCATCAGCACCGCGGCCGACCACGGGAGGGGATCCGAAGTCGAGTCAGGCTCCAGCTTGCCCCAGCCAGCCATGGCAGCGCGTGCGATCGGGAGGACCCCAGGCTGGCGGAGGCTGACGTTGAAGTGGTCGGCGACAGCCGCCAGCGCATACCGAGCATCGCCCCGCGACCGCTCGGCCACGAAGAGCTCCTCGAGGAAGCGGTCGAGGGCAGCGTCGACGGCAGGGAGGTCGCGGGCGGTCCAGCGCGCCGGGTCCAGGCCCATCTGCGCGGCGAACTCGTGCAGGCTGGCGTGGTACCGCACGGCGGTCGTGGCGGTCACCCTCGAGCGCCGGAGGAAGCCAGGGTTGTAGTCAGCGGGCTCCCGTCGGACGCGAGGCCGCCGCGCGGCCACAACAGCGGCGGGGCGTCGGCGCACTGGGCCGCGGCCTTCGGCCGGAGCCTCCTCCAGCGGGGGGCCTCGGGGGCCCCCAGACGCCGCCCCACTGCTCGGCGTCCGACCTCCAGAGCGGGGCCCAGCGCGAGGGACAGGTCGGGCACGGGAGGGCCTGAGGACCGAAGTCGCAGCCCGCCGCCCGGCAGAGGTCAGCCTGCCATCGTTCCTCAAGTAGTGGAGCACCATCTGGCCTCTTGGCGCCGCGCGGCGCCGCCGCTGCCAAGATGCTGGCAGCGAGGTGGCAGGCGCCCGGGGGGTACGCGCCGGCCAACGTGGTCTTCCACTGATACTTGAGCCCTCCCGTGGACGCACGGACACGTACCTTCCCAGACAAGTGCTCGTGCCTGTGGCCCCCCTCGCAGAGCAGGCCGATGTCGTGCAGGGCCCCCAGACTTGAGACGATAGTGGTGGGCTTCTTGTAAGGCGCGCCGAACCGGCAGCAGTGATAGGTAGCCCAGGAGCGTGAGTGCTGGTCCAGGAACTTCCGGAGTGGGGCCCAACGGAAGAGGCCCGAGGACTGAGGGTTCTCCAGAGACCAGTGAATCCCGTAGCGGCTGCAGACCTCCAAGAGACGCACCGTGACGTGAGCACACCGTCGGGCTGCCCTGATGGCGGAGACTTCGCGAGCCCCTCGCCGAGAGATGGACCACGGGGTGCACGGGGTGCCGAAGTGGACGAACCAGACGGCCCGGGAGGTGATCCAGGAACGCACCTGAGACTCGACCTTCGGGTTGAGGAGGTCGCACCAGGGCCCGTGCTTGATGTCCATGGGGGCCGCGACGACGAGGCCCGCCTGGGCCAGGGCACCAGTCCAGCGCCCGCAGCCCGAGAAGACCTCCAAGGCAGCCCGGGGTCGCGGAGCCCGCGCAGCGGTCGGCGTAGTGGATGCAGACGTAGCAGGAGGCCGAGGGGACGGACCGTGATCTGACGTTTCATCCACTCGAATTGGCTGCATCCTGGGCCCGCACCGGCCCAAGCGGCCGGCCGATCCACGACAGGGCGGCGGCCGGCGGCGGGTGGAGCCCGTGCCTGCATCAGCGTGGCCGCCACGCGGCCGCCTCGGCCAAACCACCGAGGGCGCCGGGAGGCCCGGCGGGGGCGCGAGCCAGGCGGGCTTGCGCGGCCCCTGCCGGCCTCGCCGAAGGAGCACGTCACGCGGGGGGGCCGGCACGCGCCTGGGGTGCCTCGGCGGGCCGTCGCAGGGGAGCGGCCGAGGGGTGTGACGGCAGAGGTCTGAATCCTCCCCCCCTCGTCGGCACGCTGTGTCCCCTGCGACGGCGGGCGGCGCCAGGGCGGCGGCGGCCCGAGCGGAGCCCGCAGCGCCGGCAGCCAGCCCCAGGGGCGGCGGCGGGGGCGGAGCCGCACCGGGCCGTCCGGCACCCCCAGCGGCGCCGGCGCCAGGTCCCACGCGACGCTGTCCAGGGCGGTACAGGCCCTGCAGGGCCTTGCGCGAGCCACCGTCGCTGACGTTCCTCTCTGTGTCGATGTAGCGGCGCCGCCAGCGGATGCCGGTGGCCACCTGGATGGCGGCACTGCGCCTGCACACGGAGCCGAGGCCGACGTCGACGGCGCGGCCCTTCTCGGTCGAGAGCACCTCGGCCATGTTGTCCCCGAGGCTGAGGACGCGGCGCCCGTGGCACTCGAGGCTCCTGGAGGCGTGCCGAAGCCCCGCGAGGGCGATCCGGGCCTCCAGGATATGGATGGGCGCCCGCGTCCTCCAAGCACCCTCCACGACCAGCGACCAGGCGTCTGGGGCGACGAGCTCGTCGGGGATGTCCTCGAAGGTCGCCCGCCGCGGTGCCTGGGCAACCCGAGCCCGCACGGTACCGTGGGGGCGCTCGTCGGCCCTCCTCGGCGGCGGGGCCCAGGTCGCGATGCCGCAGCTGGGGCCCCCCTCTCCGAGCACCCCTCCAGCGCCAGGAAGCCAGCCAGGCGTGTAGGTGTCGTCCTCCAGGGCCTCGGGCCGCTTCTCGTCAGGCGTGAAGCGCCAGCGCTCCCGAAGCCGCGCGAGCCGGCGCACCGCCTCGGGGTCGCAGCGCCGGCGGTGCAGGGCGTAGCCCGCCTCGGAGGAGTCGGAGCAGAGCACGATGTCCGACACGGGCGCGGCGAGGTCGACGACCGCCTGGAAGATGAGCCCTCGGAAGACGCGGACCTCCTGCCGAGCGGGACTCGGTAGAGGGGAAGGCGGCCCGAGTCGGCACTCATCCACGTACCTGTAGAGGTGGCGGAAGATGGACATGGCTGGCCGCAAGAGGAGGCAGTGCTGGATGAAGTGCCCGAGGACGACCCGCACCTGCCACGCAGCACGGGGCACGCCCGGGCGCTCCAGCTCCAGGCAGGCGAGGTAGAGCCGCCAGGCCCGCTCGTCGGAATGGCGCAGAGTCCGACGGGCGCCATCATACACCACGCCCACCATACCGAACTCGAGGGACGGCTCGCAGACCTCGTGGTACACGATGCCCCGGCGGTCGAGCTCCTCCATGACGCTGGCCAGGCCCGCCGCGGCATCAGCGACGGAGAGGCCCAGGATCCCCACGTTGTCGACGTAGACGGAGCCGGCGGGCCTGCCCGGTGCCGCCGGGCGCGGCGGCTGACGGTCCAAGACGAGGCTCGCAGGCCCGCCCGAGAGCGCGTGACCCACCCACGAAGTGACCGAGGAGTGAACGACCCAAAGAGCCCAGCTCCAGCCCATGGCGACGCCACGGAAGGCGGGGAACACCACCTCGTCGGCGCCGACGGGGATGAGGCGGCCGTCCTCCCAGACGTGCGTCGCCCCGTACACCGACGCGGGCTCGGGGTAGTCCATGCCGAAGTCCTCCGCGAGGGCGTCCGAGCAGAACTGGTAGAAGCTGTCGGCCAGGTCGAGCGAGGCACCGTAGATGGCGGGCGCCGAGGCCGCGTCGGAGGCTCCCAGGGCGGCGTCCGACCAGTCCTGCTCCGCGAGCGCGGCCGGGGTCCCGAGGGCAGCGTGCGGAGGACTCCAGTGGGTCCGGTTCGTCTCGCGGGCGTCGACCACGAGCCTGATGAACCCACCCTTCTTCTCGACGAAGAAGCAGCCCACGCGAGCACGAATGCGCCGACGGTAGCCGACAAGGCCTCGCTCCGCCAGGCGGCGAACGAATCTGACCCGCGCGTCGGGCGAGCCAGCGAGGTGAGGGTCCCAGTAGGGCACGATGGGGTCGAGCCCCTCCGCATCCGCCAGGAAGACCCTGTCCGGCTTCCGCACGTACCGATCGGGGTCGGCGAAGGCGCGGACGACGAAGTCGGGGCAGATGTCCTCGACGCACTTCGGGACGATCTTCGACTTCCAGAACTTGAGCTTGTCCTCGCAGTAGGGTGCGACCTTGGAGGGCGCCCCGGCGCACAGCGAGTCGGACTTGAGGAGCTCCTGAAGGGCTCCGCGAGGTGTGAGCCCAGGCGGCCGCGGGCCGTGCCGGCCGATGTTGCGACGCAGGTGAGCGAGGCAACTGGCCTGCGTGGCGGAGGGCGCGCCGGGCGTGGTGGAGCCACGGGCTGGCACGCTGCCGAACCCGTGGACCGAGGCTCGGGAGAGGTCGTTGATCGAGCGAACGGCCTCCCGAAGTCGGTGTTCGCGACAGCGACGACGTACGGCACGGAGGGCCAGATACCTCGGCGCGTCAGCCAGGTCCACGAACCCGGAGGGCTGCGGGACCGGAAGGGGCAGAGGCTCACCATGACGGCGATGATCGCGACGAGCCATGCCGAAGAAGCCAAAACTGCGGACGTGGAGGAGCCCACGCCGAGAGGGCCGGCCCAGCGGCGCGGGGCGGTGCACCCGCGGGCTGGGACGGCAGGGTAGGGGGCCCCTCGCCCGCCTACCCACTGCCCTCCTTCTTGGGATGCTTCGGCGGCTTGTCCTTCGAGCCGCCCGCCGAAGTCTCCTCCCGCCACTGCCTCCCCGCCTTCATGATGGCCGCCTCGGACCGCTGCTGCTCGCCGACCCAGGCGTCGAAGGCCGGGAGCACGAAGCCGCCGGACTCGTCGATGGCGGCGTCCAGCACCACGTCGAGCCCGTCGAAGTCGGGCTGCCTCGGGTTCCGCCTGGTGGCGGCCTCGAGCTGCTTCAAGCGGCGCACCATGTACTCCACCCCCGCCACGTTGTAGAGGTCGAGCTGGTCGAACTGCTGCATGATGCGGAGCACCGAGCAGAGCATCCGGTGCTCGCGGGCGGTGTTGCTCTTCTCCGGGATGCCGGACCTCCTGACCCACGTCGTGTGGTGTTCGTCCCAACCCTCCTGTCCGGCATCCCGAAGAGCGAGGCAAGCCTCGCGCGTAGCCCGTTTCCCCTTGAGGGGCCACCCAGGGACGGCCTGCTCGCGCATCTTCGAGACCGAGGTGCGGAAGCTCATGAAGCGGTCCTTCTCCTCGTCCCGCTCGTCGCCGGCAATGCGCGGGTCGCGACCAGGCCCTCCACGAGCCCGAGCCTGCCACTCCTCGAAGGAGCCGCCGGCCTCGACCCGCACCGCTGTCTGCCACACATCGTCGATGAACACAAGGCCCACCTCGCCCCGGCGGATGAGCAGCTCGTCGTTGCCCATGGCGGCCGCGGGCACCTCCTCCCCGTAGTGGAGCGAGGTCGGGTCCGAGACGAACCAGCGCTCGTCCCCGGCGAGGGGGGCGGCCGAGGCAGGGTACCCGAGGATGTCCCCCAGCGCCCGCGCCTCGCGGTAGTACTGATGCATCTCTGCGGCGTCCACGTCGGCATCGTCGAAGACGTACATGTTGCCCCGGTGGCGGTCGGGGAAGGCGCCCCCCCGCTGGAGGGCGCACACGCGCAAGCCACCCAGGTTGGCCGCCGCAATCTCCCCGTCGGGCGTGACCCAGACCCACCATTGGTCCGGCCCTTTGACGAGGAGGACCCTGTGGTGCCACTGGAAGTTCTCGTCGTCGTCGTACCGCACCAGGCACTGGGCGTAGGGCACGTCAAGCGCCCTCGGCATTCACGGCACCAGCCCGCCTCCGCACTCGCTGGAGGGTCGCCGGCGTCGCCGCACCCGCGCGCTCCCCAGCAGGGCCCTCCGCGAGGGCCAGCGGCGGCAGGACGGCGCGAGGCGCCCCCGCCCGAAGCAGCCAGGCGGCCGCAGCGGCCACGCCGGCGGCGAAGCTCGCGAGCCCGACGAGGACCGCGAGCGCCCAGGCCCCGCACGGAGCCGCTGGGGCCGGGCACTGCGGACAGACGCAGGCCGGGCACGCGGGGCAGGCCGCCCCGAGGTGCTCCGGGCCGCAGCGCGAGAGCTGCTCCCGGAGGATGTCCAGCACGCCCGAGCTCGGCTCGTGCCCGCTGAAGACGCAGGTGCAGGACGGGTCCGCGGGCGGCGCCGGCGCGGACCAGCGGGACGCGAGGATCCCAAGAACCCAGCCAGCCGCCGCCTGCATGCACGGGGCGGCGAGACTGGTGCCCAAGAAATCCTTGAGCAAAGAGGGGCTGTAGAGAGTTCTGTTCAGCCGTATCCTGGTACGGCACACGGTGGGGAGGCCCGCTGGACAACACATAGCGCGCGAGCACGTACAATCCCAGTGCGACCCTACCTAGGAGTTGGAGCCCCTAGGAAAGCAGCATTAGTAGTAATTGTAAAGCTAAGCTAAAGCTAAGCTAAAGCTAAACTGAAGCTAAGCTAAAGCTAAGCTAAAGCTAAGCTATAGCTAAGATAAAGCTAAGCTAAAGCTAAGCTGAAGCTAAGCTGAAGCTAAGCTAAAGCTAAGCTAACGTTAAGCTAAAGCTAAGCTAAATCTAGGCTAAAGCTAAGGTAAAGCTAAGGTAAAGCTAAGCTGAAGCTAAACTAACTATACAATAAAGCTAAGCTAAAGCTAAGCTAACGCTAAGCTAAATATAAAATAAAGCTCAGCTAAAGCTAAGCTAAACGCTAAGCGAAAAGCTAAGCGGAAAGCTAAGCTAACGCTAAGCTAACGTTAAGCTACACTTAAGCTAAAGCTAAGCTAAAGCTAAGCAACATCTAAGCTAAAGCTAAAGCTAAAGTTAAAGCTGAAGCTAAGCTACAGCTAAGCTGAAGCTAAGCTAAAGCTAAGACACAGCTAAACTAAATATAAGATAAAGCTAAGCTAAAGCTAAGCTAACGCTAAGCTAACGTTAAGCTACAGTTAAGCTAAATCTAAGCTAAATCTACGCAACATCTAAACTAAAGCTAAGCTAAAGCTAAAGCTAAAGCTAACTATAAGCTACAGCTAAGCTAAAGCTAAGCTAAAGCTAAGCCACAGCTAAGCTAAAGCTAAGCTAAAGCTAAGCTAAAGCTAAGCTGAAGCTCAGCTAAAGCTAAACTAAAGCTAAGCTAAAGCTGAGCAACAGCTAAGCTAAAGCTAAGCTACAGCTAAGCTACAGCGAAGCTAAAGCTAAGCTAAAGCTAAGCTAAAGCTAAGCTAAAGCTAAGCTGAAGCTAAGCTGAAGCTCAGCTAAAGCTAAGCTAAAGCTAAGCTACATCTAAGCTCAAGCTAAGCTAAAGCTAAGCAACAGCTAAGCTAAAGCTAAGCTAACGCTAAGCTAAAGTTAAGCTAAAGCTAAGCTAAAGCTCAGCTAAATATAAGCCACATCTAAGCTAAATCTAAGCTAAAGCTAAGCTAAAGCTAAGCTAAAGCTAAGCTAATTCTAAGCTAAAGCTGAACAACAGCTAAGCTAAATCTAAGCAACAGCTAAGCTAAAGCTAAGCTAAAGCTAAGCTAACTCTAAGCTAAAGCGAAGCTAAAGCTAAGCTAAAGCTAAGCTAAAGCTAAGCTACAGCTACGCTCAAGTTAAGCTAAAGCTAAGCTAAAGCTAAGCTCAAGCTAAGCTAAACGCTAAGCGAAAAGCTAAGCGACAAGCTAAGCGAAACGATAAGCGAAACGCTAAGCTACAGCTAAGCTACAGCTAAGCTAAAGCTAAGCTAAAGCTACAACTAAAGCTAAAGCTAAAGCTCCCAGGGGACTGGGGGGAACCGCTCCCAGGGGACCGGGGGAACCGCCCGGGGCGTGTAGCACTGCCCGGCCCCTTTAAGCTAAGAGAGTAAGAACCCTTCTAGGCAGAGCCTAGGTAGGGAAGAAGCTGGGCCAGTTTCTGCGAGTTCGCTATTGAGATTTTTTTTTACGAACAGGTGAAGTGTACCTGGGAGACCGTCTGTGCACAACCCGAAGCCTTCTCAAGTATAGGAATGCCTTTTTTTGACGAGTGACTTGCCACCGTACGATTACTACGGCATGTCCGTGTCGTGACGACCGGCGCGCTGGCTTGTTTGACACCGCGTGGATCGCTCAACCTTGGATCGGCGGCGGTCCCAGCGGGCAGCCTCAGAAGGCTTGGAAGGCCTCCAGCCTTCTCAGAAGTTTTCTGAGCCCTCTCCGAAGACGTGGGCGGCTCCTCGGAAGGCCGGAGGGCTTCTGCGAAACTCCGTCGCCTTCTGAGAAGGCCCGCCCCTTCTGCCGTCCCCCCCGGGCGTGCCGCCGACTGAAGTGTCGCGGCTTTCTCAATAGCGCGGTTCGTTCAAAATCGGCGGGCTCTGGACCAACGGCAACGATGAACCTTGCAGGCCCGCGCCGGGCTCGCCGCCAGGTTGGCGCGGCGTGAACCTGCTGTACCTGGTGGCAGCCAGCACTCATCGGGTGCCTGGCTACTTCGGGTGGAGGCCCCCCCTTGCACTGGACCGCGAAGAAACCGTTCTTAACTTCTCGGCGGCAGCCCGGGTTCTCGAGAATCATGGACACTATAGCGCCCGGTTCTCCGGGGGTTCTCCGGGGGTTCTCCGGGGGTTCTCCGCGGGTTCTCCGGGGGTTCTCCGGGGGTTCTCCGGGGGTTCTCCGGGGGTTCTCCGCGGGTTCTCCGGGGGTTCTCCGGGGGTTCTCCGGGGGTTCTCCGCGGGTTCTCCGCGGGTTCTCCGGGGGTTCTCCGGGGGTTCTCCGGGGGTTCTCCGGGGGTTCTCCGGGGGTTCTCCGGGGGTTCTCCGGGGGTTCTCCGGGGGTTCTCCGGGGGTTCTCCGGGTTCTCCGGGTTCTCCGGGGGTTCTCTGGAGAACCGGGCGCCATCGTGTCCATGAATGGGGTGCCTCCGGGGGGCGGGGGGGGGGCCGGCCGATAACCCAACCATGTCGCCTGGGGCTCCCCCGCGTGTGCCCGCGCGCAGCAGCTCTGCGACCCCCCCCCCCCTCGGACCTGCGCAACCGACAAGGTCAGGCTATCCGCACGCAGGCTGGGGTGGGTGGGGCGGGCGGGGCCGATAGCCTGGGCTACCGAAAAAAAACACAATCTCGAGAGCGATGCTGGGGGAGGAGAGGCAAGAAGATGGGGATCAGGAGGGGTCCGGCAGCTCTCTGGTGCATCAGTGAACTATGTTGTTTTTTGGGAGGGAAGACGGGGGGATTGAGCGAGGGAGAGAGATAGAGGCAGAGAGGCAGGCAGTGAGTGAGCGGACGGTAGTGGAGAGGGACGGGGGAAAGAAACATATATAACAAAAGGATATATCGAGACGGGGAGGGATAGAAGTACGCACTGGGTGGGGAGAAGACGAGAGAACAGCGCGAAAAGGACTGGGAGGACATACGGGACAAGGAAAGGAAACATAACGGATGGGGTATTCATCCGTTCTACTCGCATGTGCTGTGGGCACATTTTGTGCGCGCGTCTCTTATCGGCTTGCTGCTGCGCGAACTTCTCCCGCGGAGATCATATGCTGATAACGAACTTGTGTTCGTTGTTCTATGGCTACCACAACAGACGGTGTACGGAACATCAGCATTCGTGTCAGACAGAGGGCAGACAACGCACGCACACGCACACGCTTGTTCGTCGGTGGCGAGGCAGAAGAGCTGCACCAACGATCAGCGATCGGGGGCGACCGAAACGCGAACTGGCCAGCACGCAAGAGATGGGGGACTAAACAAACAAGGCGGCCGCGAAGGACACGAGGAGGCGGAGGGCACTCAGACGCGGAATAATGCCATACTGAGCGCGCCGGCGCGGCCAGCGGCGGTAGCGGGGGCCGTGGCAGCAGCCAGGCCGCGGCGTCTGTGCACCCTATGGGCGCTGCCGATGCACAGTACGAGGTAGCACAAATAGAAGCGAAAACGGAGTCCAGGTTTCGGATCGCCAACAACAAAATGATGTTCCCACTCGGTGACACGCTGGGCGGATGCGCCCAAGCGCAGTGTCCTCCCGCTCGGCCACCAGGTTGGCTGCACGCCAGGAGCGGCAGCAAGCGGCGCCATGGCAGGGAGGAGGGGCGCCCCGCCTGCAAGGAATCCCCGACAGGCGGGGCGGCGGCGCCCTGCGGCCCGCAACCCGGCACCGGCGGCGCCCGAGACAGGCACGGGGGGGCCGCCGTCGTGCAGCGACAGCGCGTGGGGCTGCACTTTGGGGCGGCAAAACTGGGGCCGCGAGGCCCGTGGGAGACCAAGTTCCCGCTCACCCAAATTGCCTGCGCCAGGGGCGGGACTGGTCCGGCAGCCGGAAGGAGGGAGGAGGAGGGAGGAGCACCTAATCGGTGCAACACCATGTGGAACCAGGCCACGCATCGCCCGGGGATGACAGCGCGCGGCAGAACTGGGAACACCTAGTCAGTGCATTATCTTGTGGAAAGAGGAGAGGCCACGCACCGCGTGGGGAGGGCAGCGCGCGGCAGAACTGTCCGCGCCTAGTCGGCGCGGTGCAACTCATTGTGGAAACAAGGCTGTGCATCGTCCAGGGGGGACGGCGCGCAGCCTATGGGCCGCGTAACCTGGCAGGGCCACTCGCAGGCCAGGTAGGATCGGCCTGGCGCTTGTCTCCCCGCTGCCAGCCGCTGCCTTTCCTCTTGCCTTGGCTGCCGCTGCCGTTTTTTTTTTTTTTTTTTTTTTTTTTTTTTTTTTTTTTTTGTGTGTTTGTTTTTTTCCCCATATGAGGCCCTCGGGGTCTCTGGTGGTCTCTTTCCCGGGCGGTCGACGCGTTGGCCGAGCAGCAACTGCATCGGCAGGAGAGGGCGAGGGCGGCCCTGTGGATGGAAGCCCCCGCCTGCCGCGCGGGGCGCCGTGCGCCCGCGGCGGCAGCGCACGCGTCCGAGGGGCCCCCAGCCGAACACCCCGCCGAGCAAAGAAAACGCCAGAGGCACACCAGGCAGAAGCAGGCCTCGGGCGTCGACGAGCGGTCACGCGCAACCTCGCCTCAAAGACCAGCGATGGGGGAGTGGCGACCGACAGACGTCTCGCGTTGAGAGCAAAAAAAAGGCATCCATGCAGGCGGCACGCTTTAAAAGAGCGAACATGTCATCACATCCGAGAAGGAGGCACGAGGGAAACCAATGGAGGCTCATCTCACGACGATGCACACGCAGTTCTCTCCCCATCCAACGTTCGAGAAGCGATTCAAGTTGAGGACAATGCGAGTAATGGCGAAGCGAGTCGGAGTCGGGGCAATTCTCATCTT